AATTAAAAGTCTAAAATTAGACAATTTGAGAAAAAAAGAATGGTTATTTTTCTCTTTTCCCGTTGAGTGTTCTTTTTTCCATTTTCTTTTTGTTTTTTGTTTTTCAATAGTTTTAAAGCACTCACAGCCACAAGGAAAAGGCACACATAGAGAAAGGAGCTAGCGCAACCCTAGCAATAGCAAGCAAAATAACAATGGCAGGTAAGAACAGAACGGGGGGAAAGCACCGCCTTCGGAAGGTCACCAAATCATCAAGCCAGCCACCGGTTGTACAACAGGTACTTATTCCCCCTGACATAATTACTGAAATACTCTCAATGCTGCCACCCAAAGCTTTTGCGCGGTTCCGATGCCTTTCCAAGTCCTTCAACTCATTCTTGACAGAATCGCGATTGATCCAGAATCTCGCCCTGCACCCGACCCAGAAACTAGAAATTCAGAAGCTTCTTTTCAACAACGATCACCATACCTGTCCTCCTCGCTCCCTCAATCTAGAAAAAATCGATCTTGACCATTGCTCTTTAGGTGTATATTTCTTCGAGAAACTTGATTTACCATACGTGTCTTCCAGTGTGGCTTCTTGTAATGGCTTGTTAATCGATTATTACTACAGCGGGACATTCATCCTGCTTAATCCCTCAACTGGCGAGTACCGGAGTGAAGCACGGCCCTACGGTGAGTTTTTCGGGTTCGGATATGATCTAACCAACGAAGATTACAAGATTTTAGTTGGTTCATGGTCTAATGTGGAGCACGTAGATCACAATATTTGCATAGCAAAAGTATTCTCCTTTCAAAATAAACGCTGGAAATCAATAAATCCAGACCCTTCAGCAAAACTCAAACCAATTGGAGAAGGAGCGGTTTATGTGTGTGGTGCTTTACACTGGATAGCACTGGACTGCTGCCACTACCACAGCTGCAGATACAGCTATTACCACGACAACCATGGCCGCTATTACCGCCAATGTAACATTATTGGTCCTGTTGAGAAACAAAATAAACGTCACATTGTCTCTTTTAATTTGTCCGAAGAGAAATTCGGGCAGATTGTGATTCCTGCCAGTTATTATAAGCATTGAAGTATGATTAACGTTGCAGATATAAGTGCATTGGGTGGGCGATTATGCATGACCATGCACCACTCAATCACCAAGAGCACTGATATTTGGGTAATGGAGAAATATGGAGATGCAAAATCATGGATCAAGTTGCAGACTATATGCCGATATTACAACTCTGATTTGAAGTATTGCTTGTCATCGATTTGCTATACAAAAAATGGTTGTATTGTTTGTAGGAGTCCTTATCATTTGGGTTTGGATATATATGATCCGAGGAATAAGTCGTGGAGTGTACTAGAGTTTCCTAGGGATTTACAGCCAATGTGTTTGAGGGCAGCCTACGAAGAGAATTTCGTTTCACTTAGAGAGTTACTAGGAGATCAGATTAATTAGATGGATTTCCGTATGTTACAAGTTATTCTGTGTTTCCTTTGGTTTCCTTGTTAATTTGTTATGTTACAAGTGATTTCGTTTCACTTACGTGGAGACATTAATTTCTATCAAAGGGTTGCAGGGCAGGAAATGAGGTTTCTACTTCCATCCTCATGATTCATATGTAGTATAGGATTATTGGATTACCTGATTGTTTGTTGGAAGATTAGGATGCTGGTTTTGATAGTAAGTAAAATTCATGTGACGGAGATTGTAGATTTAAGAAAACTATGTGAGTTGGGATTATAACTTATGCAGCAGGGTGCTGCCCTTTTAGCTTTTACTCTGTTTTTTTATCCTGTTTTTGAGATGTCCGTTCAAGATTGCTACTACTAATGTATTTGAAAAGAACTTACAATAAGTACTCCTTTTCCGTTTGTGATTTTATGTTCAAATTATTACTTCTATTGCTATTAGAACTCGAAGTTGATATGCTATATATAGAAGATAAATCAAACTGCTTTAACTTGTTAAAGTTAGGATTGCTTTCGTTAAGCAATGGCGGCAGATCGTAAGAGAAAAAGAAAGAGGAGACTAACAGAGAGCAAACCAAACAAGCTTCCAGTTACCATACCACTTGATCTAATCCAGGAGATACTTCTAAGATTACCGGCTGAAGATCTTCTCCGATTCCGATGCCTTTCCAAACACTTCCGTTCACTATTGACTGACCCAGAATTTATTCACAAACACGCGATTCAGGTCAATGAAAAACGTCGAGCCTCAGAGACTGCTCTCTGCTTTTATCACCTTTCATCCTCTTTACAAAATAAATCTTGAAAAAGCCAGCTCCAGGATGTCTGATAATGCACTGAAGAAACTGCATTGGTGGAGTAGTGAGGTAGGGCCCCATCAAGGAATGTTTGTGGGTTCCTGTAATGGGTTGGTTTTTGTCATCAAAAGAGATGGCCCCGATTCTTTTTATTACAAGAATCTTAGCTTTTGGTTGTTTAATCCCCTTACCAGAGAGTCGTACAAAATACCACCTTCTGCGACGAGTGGAGAATGTTGGCCATGGTTTCATGGGTTTGGTTTCGATCCCACCAGTGAAGACTACAAAATCATAAGAAGCAGCAAGAGTGGCGTTGAGGTTTTTTCTCTTAAAAACAACACCTGGAAATCTGGAAATATTCAAGAATTATATTCATTGTTTTCTAGACAACCACATGCATATACAAGGCATGTTGCTGTAGTCCATGGAGTTCTCCACTGGGACATTGGACTAGTTAGCAACAATATTGCTTCGTTTGATTTGGCTCAAGAGAAATTGAGGGACATACTGCTTCCGCAAAGTGTCGTGGCTGGCAATGTTGGGGTGTTGCAGGGACGTTTGTGTGTAAGCTCTGTCTGTGAGCAGACAAAGATGATTTGTGTGTGGGTAATGGAGGAATATGGTGTTACGGAATCTTGGACGAAATTGCATACAATCAAATCGGGACAACCTTATGATTACTGGACACCAATTTGCTACACGGTCAAAGGCGAAATCATATTCAGTAGAAGGTCCTGGCAGAGCAGGTTGCAAAGGTATGATCCAAAGGATAATAAATTGAGGATTTGCCATCTTCGAAAAGGTTTACCAAAGACGAACTGGTTTTGGATGGCCACTTACGTGGAGACCTTAATTTCTATTAAACAGTTGCAAGGAAGGTAATCAGGAAAGTATCAGAATATAAAGACAAAAACAAAGATAAAATCAAGAGTGTTCTATTCATTCCTGAACCTCTCAATTTCAAGATTTTTTCCATGGTGAAGTTTTGGTAGTATCCCTTGTGATTTCACTCCTAATTTTCATGGAATTCCCAGTTTTAATGTTGGAGTAAGAAGGTTCAAGATGGACATGTGTTTGTACCTGTTCACTTGTGCATTCTTGAGCCTGGCCCGGTTCTCTCTTCAACATTTGCATCTCAATGCTCCATTCACTTAAATAGATTAGATGGAATTTTTTTTTTTTTTTATGCAACTTTCTAGTCTTGTTTGTTTAGGAAACTATGTGAGTTGGAATAAGACTAATGTCTTTATGCAGGCTTCTGCCCCTTTACTCTATTTTTACCCTGTTTTTAGACGTTCCTTTCTTTCCCGAACAAAGACAAATAAGAATACTAATAAGGGAAAAATTCAGCTTACCTGTAACGGTTTGGTTTGCGCAGCCAAGAATGATTTTCGGTGCACTAATAACTATTGGTTGTTAAATTCCTTAACCAAAGAATTATATCAAGTACCACCTTTATTGAAGATTAATAAATACTTTTATTGGTTTTATGGGTTAGAATTCGATGCAATCACTGAAGACTACAAAATCACAAAAATCTGAAAATCGTTTCGATGTTTTTTCTGTTAAAAAAACACCTGGAAATTGAAAAATATTCAAGAACCATGTTCCTTGCTCAGCGAAGTGTATGAATTTGGTAGAGGGCAAGTATCCGTATGGAGCTCTACAGTGGGAGATTTCAAAAAGAGTAACAGTTCTGTTTCATTTGATTTGGCTCAAGAGAAAGTGAGGGAGATCATGCTTCCACCAAGGGATCAGGAGGAAAGACACTCTGTTTTTGGTCGTGTTGGCCTGTTGCAAGGACATTTGATTGTGAGCCGTTTCTGTAGGACGCAGATGACTTGTGTGTGTGAATAATGAAGGAATATGGTGTTATGAAATTTTGGACAAAACCAGTTACAGTCAAATTAGAAGGTTCATATGAACACTGGTCGCCAATTTGCTACAATGCTAAAGGGGAAATCATGTTCTGGAGAATATTCTTCTTCCAGAGGAGGTTGCCTGTCTATAATGCGGAGCTAAAAAAATTGAGGATTTTTGAGCTTCCAAAAGGTGTACCGGGGTGAATTGGCTTTGAAGGTCCAATTATGTGGAGACCTTAGTTTCCATCAAAGAGATACAAAGAAGGTAATCAGATATGCATCATGAAGATTTCTTCCTGCTTCGAGTTATTAGAAAGATAAGCATAAGATTTGTGAAAGATGGTTGCTTCTCTTCCGTTGTGACTTGTGATTCCTGTAACTAGTCAGTTTTTACTTTAAGGTTGAATGCTTTTGTTTTGATGGTCTATCATATACATATACATATTAGCTTTTGAATCTTTGTTGGTTTATTTTTTATTTTTTGATATGTAAGTTTCCTTTTTTTTTATCTTAGATTATTAATGAGAAGTAATATTCTCTTATTTTTTAGTTCACCTAACTTTTATATTATACGATTTGAATTTAAGATTCTTTACTCATAATCTAAAAAGAAATTACAGGTTGGAGGAAAACCATGTGAGTTGGGATATAACTAGAGCCTTTATGCAGCCGGGCGTTGCCCTTTTTACTCTGTTTTTTTTATTTTTCATCCTATTTTTGAGATGGCCATTAACTCACCACAAAATTGTTACTACTAATGTATTCGGAAAGAACTGACAATAAGTACTCCTATTCCTTTTTGACTTTATGTTCAAATTACTCCTATTGCTATTAGAACTCGAAATTGATATATATACCATATATGAAAGATAAATCATACCGCCCTACCTTGTTAGGTGTTAGGATTGCTTTCGTCAAACAATGGCGGCAGACCATAAAAGAAAGAGAAAGAGTAGACTAACAGAAAGCAAACCAAACAAGCTTCCAGTTACCATACCACTTGATCTAATTTCAGAAATACTTCTAAGATTACCGGCAGTAGATCTTCTCCGATTCCGATCTGTTTCCAAACACTTCCGTTCATTGTTGACTGACCCAGAATTTATTCACAAACACGCGACTCAGGCCAATGAAAACGCCGAGCATCAGAGACTGCTCTCTGTTTGGAACACCTTTAAGCCTCTTTACAAAATAAATCTTGAAACAGCCAGCGCCAGCATGTCCAGCAATGCACTGAAGGAACTGCATTGGTGGAGTAGCGATGTAGGGTCCAATGAAGCAATAATATTTGTGGGTTCCTGTAATGGCTTAGTTTGTGTCAGCAAACAAGAAACCCCCTATAATTGTTATAGCATTCCTAACTTGTGGTTGTTTAATCCCTTGACCAGAGAGTCGTACAAAGTACCACCTTCAGGGACATATAGACAACGTGGGCCATGGTTTCGTGGGTTTGGTTTCGATCCCACCACTAAAGGCTACAAGATCGTAAGAATCAGAAAGGGTGGCATTGAGGTTTTTTCACTTAAACAAACACCTGGAAATCTGGAAAAATTCAAGAACCATGTTCGTTATCGAACCGAACGCCATATCCAGGGCATGTTGCTGTAGTCCATGGAGCTCTGCACTGGGACATTGGCCAAGTTACTACCAATATTGCTTCGTTTGATTTGGCTCAAGAGAATTTGAGGGATATAATGCCTCCGCAGAGTATCGTGGATGGAAATATTGGGGTGTTGCAGGGACATTTGTGTGTAAGCTCTGTTAGTTTACCAACGGCAATGACTTGTGTGTGGATGATGGAGGAATATGGAGTTACGGAATCTTGGATGAAATTGTATACAATCAAATTGGAACGTCCAAATTATTGCTGGACACCAATTTGCTACACCACCAAAGGCGAAATATTATTCAGCAAAAGGTCCTGGAAGAGCAGGTTGCGAAGGTATGATCCAAAGGATAATAAATTGAGGATTTGCCATCTTCCAAAAGGTTTACCGAAGGAACAATGGTTTTGGATGGGCACTTACGTGGAGACCTTAGTTTCTATTAAACAGTTGCAAGGAAGTAATTAGAAGATCAGAGTGTAAAGACAAAAATAAAGATAAAATCAAGAGTGTTCTATTCATTCATGAACCTCTCAATTTCAAAATTTTTCTCATAATGAAGTTTTAGTGGTATCCCTTGCATCTCAATGCTCCATTCACTTAAGTGGATTAGGTGGAAATTTTGTTTCTGATGCTACTTTCTAGTCTTGTTAGTTTAGGAAACCATGTGAGTTGGGATTGGACTAGTGTGTTTATACAAGCTTTTGCCCTTTTACTCTGTTTTTACCATGTTTTTGAGATGTTCCTTTCTTTTCACTCACCACAAGATTGCTGGGTTTTTATTTTTTTATTTTTATTTTTTTGGAAAGGAATGAATTTAATTAAAAAGCTACAACCTCACACTACATCCTCATTACGAAAAATCATAACCCAAGAAAAATGTCGAAACACCCGAACAAACACAAATAAGGATAATAACAAGGGAAAAATTCAGCTTAAGCCCACTTAGGCAATTCAACAAACACATGGTGAGCATGACAAAGTGCAGTTGAAGGCTTGCAGCCTTCCGGTCTTTGTTTTTCCGCCCCCACAAATTTAACACAAGCTTGCACTTTATTTCAATTGTATCATTATAGCAATGAAATCAGTCCAAAACAGAATCAATCAAACTTAAAAGCATGCACCCTGAGTTGAAGCAAGATCAAGGTCGCGCAATTGCCCCACCCAGCAGCCAGAGTAAACAGCAGTCCTGTCCATCCACCTATTGAAAAGATTTTGTTGTCTTTTTCTCACATAGCTCCCCTACTTCATTGTTCATTACAAATTATTTGATTTTGGTTCGGCTCTTGTTCAAAGATAAGGAGTAGGGGTGATGCTCCATCTAAAACAATAAGGTTGGCAAATCACGTCTACAATAAAGGTGAACTGTCACCTGCAATGGTTCACTTCGAGTCTTGGTAGCTATGACCATAGTATATATTGTGGTTGGAATTAAGAGCAAGTTACTTGTTTCTTTTCCAATTAAAAAAGGCGGAGTCTTGTTTCTAAGCTAGAGGAATTAAGGAGAGACTAATTTGTGTTAAAATTAATATATTTTCAGTCTTCTGAATTTTTGTTTGGATTCAAGACCCTTTGTTAATTGTTTATTTATAACTGTTTACACCTAATTTTACAACAAAGAAAGTGTTGCCACATGTCACCCATGTTGGCAGGTATTTCACTGATTGAAGTTATTAGTGTAAATTTCTCTTGATAAGATTCAGTAGTTATTTTCACAATGGCAGCAAAGTCATTCACTTGTTGCGAACTTCAAGAAGGATAATCGACAGCATTAATAAATTAATCGATTTGTTTCAAATATTAAGCTACTGTTGGTTTTTCAAGATTGCTATCATAGATCTCCAAGCATGTTGCCAAGAAGTGTTTATTGCTATAAGTATGTAGAGAAAAAACGAAGCAAAAGGACATGCCTCTCACACAACTAACATAACGTTATCTGCATTTCAATTTCACAAGCAATGTCTTAGTCTTTATGTAGGAATGCACCCCCGTTTCTACGACAATCATTTGACTAAGGCACATTTCATAATTTATTTAACTGGTGTTCTTCCATCGACTCACAATTGAGTTCCACGCTTGGAAGTAGTGAAGGTCACTGAGAATCTCTCTTTCTCACTTTGAACAAAATGAGTAGCACATCTTTATAGTCTTATCTGCCACACGGCCAAAAAGAGAGATTTTGGAGATAACAATAACTAAGTGTAGAAAGCATATAAATAATAGAGATCTTCAAAAGTATCTAGGGAGGACATATTAATGTGATGGTAATGTAAGGAGTTTGTAATTATACTTAGCTAGTCATGGAATATGTGGTGGATGGCCACTCACACCAGAAAAAGAGCACACACTTTAGGAGTAGTACTCTTGATTGATTTTAGTTATATCAAAAGTGGGTATGTACTCCAAATTCTGATATTCAAGATGACTTTAGAAGTACTGTATTTATGTATTAAAATTCCATGAATTTGAGACATATCTTACTAGATATTCAAGTTATCATAGCAAACTTTCCCCTTGCCTACGTGATCATTGCATCATGTGTATAACAAGCAAAAGTTTTTCTGATCCCACCCATTCAATTATATGTTGAAAAGTGATTATTAGTTTTTAGTCATTATCTCTATTATTTAAGAAGTATACGTGTTTACTTGTTTTTCTTAGAATTAACGTACTACTAAGTTGTTGATTAGTGCTCCTATTATTAGGTTAGTGGGTATTTATTTACTTTAATTAGGATTATTATAAAGCCTATTTATGGCTTATTTCCTTCCGGATAATTAAGTAGAGACTTCATCTTTTCAATATCATCGTTGTATCTCATCTTAAGTTCCTGTTTCAATTCAATGGATTAAGAATAATGATGAGAAAAACGAAAAAATGGGACAATTTGACGGGACGATTATAAAGTGATATGCCATCTTAGTAAAATTACTTGATTTAAATTTTTAAAAAATTTATATATTAATGACATAGCTTGTCATGTCGTTTGTCTCATGATTTCGTACTCTTTTTTCGTCCACTATATCATTGTCCATAGATTAATTCCCCACAATCTTCAGAGTTATTCTTCTTGTTGGACTCTCTAACATTATAATGGGTCAAAATTAACCAAGATCTTCTAAGTTATGACCGACTCGTATGACATATTCACTAAAAGTTCCCAATTTGTATGTTTTAATTTTTAAACACGTTACATGAATAAGATTTTTTGATATGTGGATCTGTTTAACAGCCTCTATAATTTGTAACTGTATGACCCAACTCAAACGCAGACAACCAAACACGTTTGCTAAGTTTTTTAAACTCATGGCAGCAGAGAGGGAATTTCCATCCTTGTCGAATTAATTGGACAAAACTTTATTAAAACGGAATACCTACTAGAATTAGAATACATCTAAGAATAAAAAGGCAATTTTGCGTGAAATAGTAATTAAAAAGAAATCAGTAGTATTAAGGAAAGTGATCAAAGATGATCACTCAATCAAAGATATTATTGTGTGTGTGTATAATCAGTTTCCTATTATTGTTATTTAGTTTCCTTGTACAGGTTACTCTCTATGTAAAGTTTCCCGTGTACATTTTGCTGTGAATACAATGAATATTACAGTTCATCATTCCAAAACCCTTAGTAGTTAGCCGCTTTAAACCTATATTTGGATAAAAATTAGTAAAAGAAAGGAAGATGTGGAGAAGAGAAGAGAGAAGAAGTAAAGAAAAGGAAAAGTTGATATTAATTTTATTT